GCATCCTAAGAGATAAGGGTCCAGCTGGAAAGGTAAAGGTGCTTTACCTTTACAGCCATACCAAAAGCTCATCTTGACCAAAAAGGAGATTCAAACAAGCTGATCTCGTCCACACACTCAAATGCATTTAAATTAGGCTGCATCTGGACACTTGAGTGGACAGGTTCATGGGAGCCCTTGCTGGACCAATTAGAAGCAAAGAGTGTTTGAATAAACCAATCACCAGCCTCCCCTTGTTGACCAGAACCATCTCGCCAAAGACCAAGCAAAACAACATCTCATCCATTCATTTCTCAAGTTATTATCTTAGCCATTAGATGTAGGTTAAGTGTATCAGATTGTAAATGGCTATATAAGCCTTAGTCTTGGCGATTTTGTAAGCTTTAAGCTGAATGGGGGTTTCCCCATCTCTTCATAATAAAGTGTGTTGTTCTTAGATCAGAATCCCTTAATCTCTCTCTTTCTTAAACACTAAAACACTTAATCACTCATATAATCTCATATACACTTGTTTCTGGTCCTAGTTCACACACATACCATCAGATCTTTCTCACAACCAAAACAAGTCTATCTTTGCCTTTAAGAGGCGTTTTGTTCATCACTCTCACACACAGCCTTGTACTCTGAAAATCTAACACCGTCTAGACACCAAGACTACTCCGGCCACCAGTAACCACCGTCCATGTTTTCTTCAGTTCATAAAAAGTCTATCCATCACTCCAACCTCCAAACAAAAGCCCCAAAAAGATGAAAAAAATGTTCAGACCAAAATTCTCCGAATAAAACTCAAACTTTGACCCATTAAACAGCATCTGAACAACTTTTATCACCTAGATTGTTGAATTTTAGAATGACCCAGAAAAAATAAATAAAATTATCAATTAAGTGTTTATGGACAGTACAAATGTGGACATAGATATATATAAAACATAGATACGTACACAATTGATCAAACCCAGATTTTATAAAAAAAGTCCAAATCAAAAGTAAGAGAGCCAATACGGGTTTTTATGGAATCTTAACTTTACTAAGTATATCCCTGCAACATAAGTTAAGAAGACCTCCATAAAAATGTCACAAAGACCATGCCTTTTGGATCAGATTTAAAGAGATGAAGCAAATAAAACATCTGGAGTTTTTCTTACAGTGTTTGGACATACTGAGAAACGATCGTAGATCTTGGATATTCTCTTGAAATTGGTGGTGATCTTCTACTGTAAACTGAGCCTCCTGCTGTGATTTGCGATAGGGTTGGTTCCTCAGAAGTCTTGTATTTCTTCTCTTTTTTTCTTTGGCTTTTACTTTTTCATGGTTTATTTGAAGATATTAAAAGGGTTCTCTGAGAATTATCGGGAAGCGTAAGAAGATGGATAGAGAGCTGAAGAGGAAAACACATAAACAAAACAAGCATCGAACAATTTGGGTTTATGGTATGCTTCAATTGATGATGAAAGAAGAATGAGAGAGATTCAAAATTAGGGGTTGAAAATTTGGGAAAGAGAAAGTGGATCTGAGTTTTGAAATCGGGAATGGAAAGAGAATATGTGACTTATGACTTTTCAATAAATGAAAAATAGTCTTTTAATTATATAAGATTCTCAGTTAGTTTTCTAGTTTGGTTAACTTTAGTTAAGTGAAATAGTTGGTCTAGTTTGAGGGCATGAAAGACAATACACATCCATAAAGTGTCTCACCAGCAGAATGTGTGTGTATGTGTAATTCATAAGTCATAATGTGTCTTAGAATGTAAAAAGATCTTCTAAAAATCGGAAATACTTGAGTCCATTCTGGTTGAGCTTCAAATTGATTTGGTTTTATACATCAAATACAAAATAACATAATTGTTGGCAACGTGGTGCTGTGACATAGATAGATAAGCGACAAGAGAGTGGTTCACTCCACTGGTGTTCGCAATAAATAGTAAGAAGACATAAAAAGGCCACTAAAGGCCCATATTCCACAACTCCTTTTTCGCCTCATCCTCCCCCAAAATGAGACGCACAGAAACAAAATAAAGGTGTAGAAGGAAAGCAGAGGAAGGAGACGACGACCACCACAAACCTAAGCTCCTCTTGAACCTCTCCTGCAAACCCATGGCTGTGAGATCTCTCTCTCTCTCTTTGTCTCTCTTTCTACTTGACACATAATCTTAGTTTCAAAAACAGATGTTAGTGATTAGCGATTAGTTCTGTTTTGATCTTTTTTTTAGAAATATTTTAGGGTTTTGTACCCTCTTAAAAACAGATGCACTAGATGTAATATGGTTTTGTTTGAATTCAATTTTACATTTATTCAAAAAAAAAAAAGAAAAAAAAGAATCTTAGTTTCTCAATTGTATCTTTCACCTCTTTTGATTTGGGTTGATATTCACTTGTTGTGAGCTTTTAAATCTAAAATGGCAATGGAACTTTGTTTGTATCTTAAAGAAGCTTAGTTTGTATACATTTGCAGCTACTGCTCTCACAATAGCTATATCTAGTGAATAGACCAAAGAAAGTTGAAAGTAGGATAAGATTATCCAAGAGAGCTTAAGGCTAAAGACTGACACTTTATGCAACCAATTATGGCATAAGGCAAATGAGAAGAATGTTGTTTTGTTTTCTGTGCTTATTAATTTTTTCTCTCTTTGCTCTTTCATACTTTTTTGCAAGACAAGCTTGAGTATGTTGGCTTGGAAAGAAACTAATATTTTTTGCTAGTGTTATCCTTTTTAAAACTTATTGTGTGTTCTAGGAAAAGGACCTCCCATTACCAAAGTTTGGAGAATGGGATGTGAATGACCCTTCTTCAGCTGAGGGATTCACTGTTATCTTCAACAAAGCTAGAAACGAGAAAAAGGGTGGTGGTGGTGGTGTATCTGACTCACCAGGGAAAGATGAACCTGGATATAATAAAACTGGCCATGCTCTTGGGAATGGGAAGCCCACTGTAAGCTCTCTTATCTTTCTTTTTGTTTCACTGAAATGCATCATCATATCATTTGCTTAATGTGAATTCAAGAATAGCAAATTTAATGAGTTGTGTTTTCTTTATTACTTCTGGTGGCTCATTGGTTCATTACTTCTTGAATAATTTTTGCAGAAAAAATGGCTTTGCTGTATAAAATAAACCCGCGCAGAATAAGTGGTGGGTGAGATCTTAAACTTGAAAGGTCGTTTTATCTATATCTAAAAGTCATACTGCGTGAAGAAGACTGGAGCTTGTCTGAGAAGCCATGACAGTCACTTGTGGATTCTGGTTGGAGTTGTTTCAGAGTGGTGTGTTTTGGTGATTCTGGTCTGGTGCAAGGAGGATGAATGTATTTAGATAACAATAATGTTGTTGTATTGGTATTTGGTGTGATGGGTTGTTTGTATTTTATCCTTCATCTTTTTTTTGATTTGAGTTCAATAAATAGATTTTTTTGTTTCTTAAATGGTGTTTGCAAAAGCTTCAGTAAATCAAATCGTGATTCAATTTATTCGGTGGGTTTTGGAAAAAAGTTCTGATACAATAGAGAAAACAAACAAGCCTTTCTAGTCTTTCTTCAAATTCTCATAGTTGGAGAAGTGAGTTAAAGGGACATGGTTTCTAAGTATGAGAAATGTTCTTTCCAAAGAGTCCAGCTATGCCTTTCTCTGGGTCGTTTTGCTTCACAATGGACTCACCAACCAAAACCTGTAAACCTCACAAATCAGCATCATTTCAGTCATCTGAGTTAAAATTTGCATTCCAAGCAAACAAAGATGAATATTTGTGAAAGCTTACCGCTTTAACACCAGCGGCTTGTACATAGGCAATATCATCAGGTGTAAACAGACCGGATTCGCCTACCACCTTAGAACCCCACATAACATAATCATCTTGGTCAGAAAACTCAGGGAGATGTGAAAAGACACGAAAGGAAATTAGAACTATACTTACAATCATGTCTTTCTCGCGGATTTGTCTACCATGCTCTCCTTCAAGAAGCTTCTTTGTATTACTAATGTCCACTTTAAATGTTTCTGAAACACCAAAACTTTAAATGTTACTAATGTCAACTCAACTCAACTTTTACACTACAAGAAAAACCAAGAGATTTCAGAGCATAAGTACAAAAGCTTCTTCATTACCAAGACTTCGGTTATTGATGCCAACAAGCTCAATCCCTTCTACTCCAAGAACACGACCCATCTCTCTCTCATCGTGTACCTAATTGAGAGCCAAGCTTGTTAAGAGAGAAACTAAAAGGAATACTAACTGTCATCAATAACGAAAGTAAAGGAAAAATACCTCAACAAGGGTAGCCAAACCAAGTTTCTTGCAGAGCTTAAGCAAGTAGGTTATTTCCAGGTCAGTTAATATTGCAGCAATAAGCAATACTGCGTCAGCACCTTTAGTCCGAGCATAGTATATCTGCCATGGATCTACAACGAACTCTTTGCATAACAGGGGACACTGCAAATAATTCAAAAGCATGGCTTACAAAAAGTTGTCTTCATCACTGAAAGCACCAAAGAAGAAACGAGAATTTGCTAATCAAATACCTTCACACCTGCGCTTCTTATTGCTTCCAAGTTTTCAAAGCCTCCCTGTCAAACCAAACCAAGAAGATAAGAACTAACCATTGTTAAAAAAAAAATAGAAGAAGCATATTGCAAACGTGTGCTGCAACTGAATACAGAACAAGTGAAACCTTGAAATACTTCTGGTCAGTCAAAACACTGAGACATGCAGCACCGCCTCTCTCATACGCTTGAGCAATCTCGACCTGTTAGCAACACAGCCCGGATGAATCATATTGGGGAACTATTCAAAACAGAAAGTGTTGTTTTATTTCCCAAGGCTAGACTGCAAATGACAAAGACTTCAAATTCTTCTTCGACCTTAACTAAGCTTAACCAGAGTCCAATAAAATATGATAAATCACTAAGCATCAACAACATACCGGGTCAAAATTCTCTTTCAAGATTCCTCTACTAGGAGAAGCCTTCTTAACCTCAGCGATCAAACCAGGGAAGCCAGTTCGTTGATGAGCCATCCTAAGCGCACCTACAAAATCCCTAGTGGGAGGAGCATTCTCTACAGCTTTCTTTAACGCCTCAAGTGAGTTCAGTTCCTTCATCTGTAAAAGTTGGAAAAAAAGACAAATCACCATTAACAACTCACACAGCCTTTTGAAGTAGCGAAAAGGGGTTGTAAAAGAGAACAAAAAAAAAAAAAAAACACTTACCTTGGAAACTTCTTGGTCTTTGTACCATGTAATCTCCTCCAAAATGTTACTTGGAGAATCAGCACCCTGCAATCTCAGATCAAACGGTCCAGTGTAACCCAATGGAGCCTTGCTTGGTGGTTTTCTCCTGATCCTGATACCTTGGCTAACAGCTACTTCATTCTGATACATGTCTACTTCCCATTCCTTGATTCTAAGCTCATTTTCTAGTGAAGGAGAAGAAGAAGCAACACCTAAGCTCTCCTTCAAATCCAACAACCAAAAAAGAAAAAGAAAAGCAATTACTTTCAGCAATCAGATTGGTGTTAATTATTTAGCAAAAAGAAAAAAAAAAAAAACAGATTGGTTTCAATTAGGGTTTTATAATCACAAAATCGAACATGCCAGAGATCACATAGAATCAAACGAAAGACGCGACCTTTGTTAATGGGTTTTTCAATAGAATCAAAGAGACAGAAGAACCAATAATGTTTAATCACAAAGGGTCGAAGACGGGTGCCGCCGAACCTGTTGAGCTCGAATTGTGAACTGCGACGGAGCTCTAGAACTGATCCTTGTGTCCATGGGGAAACCTGAAAAGGAGCGTTTGATGGAGACAGAACCGATACACCGATAAAGAGAAGGTGAGATCAGTCTAAGAGGAAGTCTATGTCCAGCACTTTGAACCGGAACGAGTGCATCCATTGCCGGAAAAGATATGAAATGCTTTGGGGGAGTTTATGTGATTCCGGGGGAGGTCAAACTATGTATAGTTTTTATTAATTATGAAAATATTTGGCAGTTGGCTGGGTGATTAACACGTGGTTTAATTGAACACCAACGTGAGACTGAGATGGTTGGTGAAAAACTCAAACACATCGCTATCAGTCCAACATTTTGTGCTTGTATAGACAGACTATATGCTACTTGCAGGCCGGACCAGAGAATTAGATAGCATAAAACGATTTTTTTAGCAGATGTTACCTAATTAATTCAAAATTCATTGAGATTTGTGATTGGATCTCCTTTTTCATCTATCTATATTTATGAAGTTTACTTATTTTGTTTGTGTTATGATTTGTTTAGCTATGTGATTATGTCTGAGTTTTTCATTGTTAGAGTTAGATTTTAAATAAGTTAGTGAAATTAACCTCAACTATAGAATCACTTGTTATGGTATTCAATAATAGGATGTTCTTAATGTTTATGTTCTAAAATTGTTAACTAGAAACATAACCTAGGAGTTTAGCTTGTTTAATCAACCTTTAAACAATTCTAAACAACATGAATCTATTCTATTAAGGTAGGATCTACTAGAGTATAGCGATAGCTTGATCTAGGGATTTATAGTGAGTATAGATTAACTCACGCATAACGCTTAACTAGCCATCAATCGATATTCTTATAGAATATCGATTGACACTGTTATTGATCGGATATTATTGTTTGGGTCAATAAGATATAGTTAATAGATTTATTTAGTAATGCGAATGCTTTGCTTGATTTGTTATTTAGAGGTTAAGGTCTTTAATACCATACAAAAAAACTAATTAGCACTTGTAATCTCCAACACCTGAATACAAACCCTAAGTCCATAGTGATTACCAAACAAGAGATGTGGCCAGTGGTGCTTCTTCCATCATCTCCATCATCTTCATCAATCTTTTATCTTAATAATTGTCTGATGTCATGGTGTTCACAGAAGCAAGGTACTGTAGCTCACTCATCGTGTGAGATAGAGTTTATGGCAACCATTGAAGCAGCTAAACAACAATCTGGTTGCAGGTCTTGGTGAAGAGATTACCAAACAAGAGTACAAGAAGACTGCAATCTTGATTGATAATAAATCAGCAATAGCACTTACAAAGAACCTAGTGTTTCATGAAAGAATCAAGCATATTTATAAGCGATATCACTTCATCAGACAATGTATTGAAAACAAACAAATAGAAATTCAACATGTTCATGGAAACAGAAAGGTGACATATTAACTAAAGCACTTGAAAGAATCAAATTCAAAAAATGTGAGATTTGGTTGAAGTTTATGAAGTGAAGAAAGAGAGCTTCAAGTTTAAAGGAGAGAATGTTGAAAGTAAACTTGAAGATAGCTTGACTCTCATTGTAAACTAAGCTTGATAGAAAAAAGAAAATTCATCTTATTTAAGAGTTTTTTATTTTTTTGTTAGTCGTCCATCTAAACCAAATCAAGTGGTGGTTAAACGAGCTAATTCTCCAAGAGATTTAGAAGTTATCTAAATAAGTTAAAGTCTAATGACTTTAGGAGATTTAGAGATTTATATAATGGAATGCATACTTGTTGCTTAAACTATGATTTGTGAACGATATCTATGAGAACTTAAGTTTTTGAGAGAGTTTTCTTAAGCTATTAATAAGAATTTGTTATTCTTATTGAGATCTATTAAGTTCATACGTTGAGTTTAAACAATATGGAATACCTTACGGCTAATACCAAGAGGTAGAAATCATCTATTACAATTTATCATGTAAACCATTTGAGCTGAAACCCAAACTAAGACAAGCTAAATAATCTATATTATAATGAGACACTTTCAAGACTCCTTAGAGTGTCCACGTCAGCAGGTAAGTGGGCTCCACCGCCATTTTCAATCAACTAGCGTGCCGTTTTTTCTAGTCGTGTGCGGTTCTCAATTGTCTTGCGTGTTGTTTTTATTTTCTGCCGAATGGGTTTAGGTTTTTAATTTTTGGCCGTCTAAAATCGCTCTCACTTTCGTCGCGATTTTAATCCTCGATCCTTCTGATTTGGAACAATTCTTCTTCTTCTTCTTCTTCTCTTCATCTCTACAGTCATTCAATACCGACGCGACGCTTCCTTCTCCAGTAACGCCTTCTCCATCCTCCGATATATTGAGGTCGTCTATGGTGAGTTCTCCTTCCTCTCTTAACGCTCCTCCTCTACTTTTTCCTTCCTCTCGATTTTTTGATTCGATTGTTTACGTGATGATTTTGTATGTTATCACTTTTTTGCATAGAACTAATACTTTTTAGATTTCTGGATTGCTATACGTGGTATTTGTCTAGCTTCTCTGCTGATCTCTTGGATACGCTCGCAGATTCGATTATGGAATGAGACCGAAACCAGGAGCTTCAAGTAAGATTCAGCCAGATTGATATGTGATTTTTGTTGACTCTGTTTATAGTTAATAGATCTCTGATTTTTCAGATAGTTTTCTGATGTGTTTGTTACTTATGGTGATATGCTCTCAGTGAAAAAGAAGCCAGGCAGCAGGCCGTAGCGAAGCTCCTGCTAAGGATCCAAACAAACCAAAAAGGTCAGCCATTACTTTTTCGTTTTGATGTAAACCAATTCTTCAATTTATTAATCAGATCAAATTAATATATGTTTCTTTTTGATGTTTTTTCAGCTGGGTACGAAATCTTTTATACGTAAGATGAGTAGAATCCTCTGTCTATTATTGTGAAATCAATACATGAATTATTCTTTTATTTGATTTTTATTATTTTTTAGGGAAGATTTCCGTCGACTTTCAAGAAGGAGCAACCCAAGAACGAATCTGTTTCTTCTGTGAGTGACTCCTTCTCACCATAAAATAATATATCTTTAATGCTTTACTGATCTCTTGATCTTCAAATGTGTTCTAACGTTGATTTTGAACTAATAAACAGGTTGGAAAATCTGCTGAAGACAAGAAGTCCTTATCAGACGATGTATGTTCTCTCTCAACACTTTCTCAAAATTATGTGATGATTTGGTCATATTCTTAAGTTTAATAACTTCTGTTTAACGATATTTTAAGAAAACGCACCTTATGTCGCTAAGGCTGAGCAGCCTAAGGTTGACAACGAGAAGAACATGAAAGCCTACAATCTATATTATAATGAGACACTTTCAAGACTCCTTAGAGTGTCCACGTCAGCAGGTAAGTGGGCTCCACCGCCATTTTCAATCAACTAGCGTGCCGTTTTTTCTAGTCGTGTGCGGTTCTCAATTGTCTTGCGTGTTGTTTTATTTTCTGCCGAATGGGTTTAGGTTTTTAATTTTTGGCCGTCTAAAATCGCTCTCACTTTCGTCGCGATTTTAATCCTCAATCCTTCTGATTTGGAACGATTCTTCTTCTTCTTCTTCTTCTCTTCATCTCTACAGTCATTCAATACCGACGCGACGCTTCCTTCTCTAGTAACGCCTTCTCCATCCTCCGATATATTGAGGTCGTCTATGGTGAGTTCTCCTTCCTCTCTTAACGCTCCTCCTCTACTTTTTCCTTCCTCTCGATTTTTTGATTCGATTGTTTACGTGATGATTTTGTATGTTATCACTTTTTTGCATAGAACTAATACTTTTTAGATTTCTGGATTGCTATACGTGGTATTTGTCTAGCTTCTCTGCTGATCTCTTGGATACGCTCGCAGATTCGATTATGGAATGAGACCGAAACCAGGAGCTTCAAGTAAGATTCAGCCAGATTGATATGTGATTTTTGTTGACTCTGTTTATAGTTAATAGATCTCTGATTTTCAGATAGTTTTCTGATGTGTTTGTTACTTATGGTGATATGCTCTCAGTGAAAAAGAAGCCAGGCAGCAGGCCGTAGCGAAGCTCCTGCTAAGGATCCAAACAAACCAAAAAGGTCAGCCATTACTTTTTTCGTTTTGATGTAAACCAATTCTTCAATTTATTAATCAGATCAAATTAATATATGTTTCTTTTTGATGTTTTTTCAGCTGGGTACGAAATCTTTTATACGTAAGATGAGTAGAATCCTCTGTCTATTATTGTGAAATCAATACATGAATTATTCTTTTATTTGATTTTTATTATTTTTAGGGAAGATTTCCGTCAACTTTCAAGAAGGAGCAACCCAAGAACGAATCTGTTTCTTCTATGAGTGACTCCTTCTCACCATAAAATAATATATCTTTAATGCTTTACTGATCTGTTGATCTTCAAATGTGTTCTAACGTTGATTTTGAACAAATAAACAGGTTGGAAAAGCTGCTGAAGACAAGAAGTCCTTATCAGACGATGTATGTTCTCTCTCAACACTTTCTCAAAATTATGTGATGATTTGGTCATATTCTTAAGTTTAATAACTTCTGTTTAACAATATTTCAAGAAAACGCACCTTATGTCGCTAAGGCTGAGCAGCCTAAAGTTGACAACGAGAAGAACATGAAAGCCTACAACAAGAAACTGGTAAGTCAAGTGTCAATTTATAGAATGTTTTGTCATTTAAACGTTGATCAAACATTGATTTGTTTTGGTTTTTAGGAGGAAGGTTCAAAAGAAGGAAGAATTTGACAATTTTGTGTCTGAGGTTAATAATGAAGATGATGTTGAGGATGGTAGTGATGATGTTAGTGGTTGATTCTTTTTTTGTTATTTTGCATCAGTGCCATGGGCTTTGTTTTAATTCTGTGTCGTTGGTGTATTACCTGATGTAAAGGACAATGACTAATAATCTGATGTTTGTAACATTAGTATAGATGGCTGAAAAGATCTCTCTGTTTTTATCTAAAAATGTTTATGGGGTTGATTAAAAGGTGACCTATCTTTGTTTTTGTTTTGGTTCTTCCACAACCTCTCTCTGTTACCAAGCTCTTTGGATGGAGAAAGTGAATTGTAGAATGTTTAGATGGTGAAAGAGAGACTTGCAGCTTTGTACTATTGTGTTCTGTACTTAAAAGTAAACATGTACATACGAAGA